TACGTAGCATTCGTATTTGTGCTCCTTTGATAGTTTTATTCCTTTTGGAGGCATTGTAATATTAGAGAGTTAATATCTTAAAAGATCATTGAACTATAGAAAATTATTTAGTAAAGTCATTGAACTTTGTTTTGTAACAAGAGAAAAGACATAAAGTCGCCATTGAAGTTGTCTCCGATTTTCAAAAAGACACCTTAACTTTGTAACCGTCTTATTACCCCACTGAACAATTTTGAACATATATTATTATATCATTTTTCGTCCACCTGACATAGAGAGTGGTGTACACTCTCTCAAAGAGAGTGAGCAACATAAAATAACTAATATAGTATTATTTTTACAAGTATTTTATTATAAAATATATTTTCTTATTATTTTAATTTTTTTTCCTTTTTATTTTTCTCTTTCTTTCTTCTTCAAAAATTCATTGTCATTTCCATTAAAATTTCTCACTTTCAATGTCACCATTTTTATCACAAGTTCACCTTCCTTTTGTTTACTACTATTAGTTTTACTCTCTTTAATTTTAAAACTTTATCTAAATATTTCTTATATTTCGAACAATTTGATAAATCCATTAGATTTCAAGATGATTATGAAGTATTATATAGTTTTTTTTTATCCGATTTAAATTAAGTACTTTCAATTTTCGGGGAATTCATTGATTCTTTTAAAATTATAATTTCTAATTTTGAAGTTATTTGAAAAGGAGTAATTGATGATACATTCAAAAATAAATTTTCTTAGAAAATAATTAATTTTGTTATCAATAATTCAATAAAATCTAAAAAATAGCATGAATTCTATAAAGAATTCGACCCGAGAAGAAGAAGAAGAAAAAGATTAAAAAAAAATGGAAGTGGGGTTCAACTTGACGTAGGGGGTGGGGTGAGGGTGAGAGGTGAAGAAAAAGAAAGAAAATGGAGGGATGGATCACTTGAAAGTGGAAGGTGGAAGATGAAATGAAATTTAAGATGAAATTAAAATTAAAATAAGTCAAAAGTAAGAGAGAGAAATAAATAAAAAAAAGATAAAGAAAAAACTTAAAATGAAAAAAAAATACATTTTAAATTAAATTAACACGTGTCATTTAATGATTGGTGTGTGAACACACTTACTTCTTAAAATTTGGGGCTGATCGAAAAATGATATAATAATATTTGTTCAAAATTGTTTAGTAGGATAATAGGACGGTTGCAAAGTTAATGTGTCTTTTTAAAAATTCGAAATAACTTTAATAGTGACTTTAGGTCTTTTCTCTTGTATCAATAAAGTCACTCAACTTAAGGTTTTTATCTTAAAAAATCATTCAACTACATTTATCATTAAAAATAAATTTGATAAGACAATTTAAATTACTTTTTATCCCAATCATGAATCCAACAAAATTATAAAATTATATTTATTTTTATGCCATGTAATCACAACCTCATAAATAAATAATAAAATTATATAATCTGTTAATTTTTATGCCAGGTAATTATGCTTTTTTCTCCTCCTTCGCCTGATTTTCTTTTTGCAAAATAATCAGTAGCGTTTCTAGGTTCTTTGGTCTTAGGAGAATTGCAGCTTCAATGAACGAAACCAACTATTTTCTGGCTTCACTTCTCTTTGCCTTCACCTAGGTTAGCTTATAATCTTCTATACTAATTAATTTTATGTTCTAAAATCTGTTTATGTGACTTGTATGTCAAAATTTATCCTTTAAAAAAAAATTAAAACAAAGTCCAACTTGGTTGTCATGTAACTGGTTCCAGTGAGGCATAACTGAGGCTTTTAAGTATCTTTTAAAGCATTGAAGTGTTTTTTTGAATTAGGATTCAAATTTACTAATTTGTATAAATTCATATGCTAAAATGGAATTAGATTCCCAAATCCTATAAAATTTATATGCTAAAATGGAATTCGATTCCCAATTCTAATTAAACGTGAAAAAATGTAACTAATATCAGGACATAAAAATATTGACTTTATAATTTTATTTATTGTGATGATTAGGTGGCATAAATAATAGTTTATTTAGTCATGTCAAAGATAGTTTAATGAAAAATGTAGTTTAGTGATTTTTGGAGATAAAACTAGTAAGTTGAGTAATTTTATTGATATAAAACAAATTTTAATGACTTTGTTAGATGATTTTACATAGTTCAATGACCTTTTAAGATATTAACTCCCCAAAAAAGAAAAAAGTCATTTTTTTTTAAAGAGACTAAAAAGAAAAAGAAATTATTCTTTTTTAACGGAGGAAGTATTATGTTTTGACTTTTGAGAATAATAATCAACTACCTAGAGTCCTTCTCAGTACCTCAAGATTTTGTATAGTGCATTTTATGGGTTCTTCACTTGATGTATGCAAGAGTTAACTCACAATATTCATAAGTTATATCTAACCTTGCATGCGTGATAGATACGTTAGTATCCCGACCAACTTTTGCTGGTGATCAATATTTGTTCCATCTTGATCATACAATATTTCAAACATTTGGAGTCGCCTTTGTTAGGGAGCACTTTACCCTCTAATGTGGGACTTTCCGGCGCGAATCTGAATTTAGTCGGGCTCCAATGTGGGTACTGAACATCGGGTGGAAACAAAAAAAATAAAAATTCAAACATTTGATTCATTTCTATAAGCACTTCTAGTCTTCTACTAGTTTGCATGCTAACATCCCAAACATAAGTGTTTGCAACAAATTTTAAAGTGATAGAAAAGAAACTACAATCACAAATAAAATATGAAGTATGAAGAAACGTGTTTTATTCATGAATCAATATGGATACAATTCTGTTTCTCCCATGATTCTTCTCTCATAAGATTTATTTCTTGATTCTCTCTCATAAGATTTATCCATGATTAATCATGATTTCAGATTTCAGGGCCGTTAGTGGCGTATTTCTCGAAACATGATGATTTGGATTTGATCTCTTTATGAATATTCCATGAATTTGAGGAATATTTGAGATGTGTTTCAAGAGAATATAGTGTCCTTTATATAGGGTTGAGTAGCCTCCACGAATTCTAATTGAAATTGAACAAATCTTGTAGAGTCTCAACTTGAATTGAACATATCTTGTACAGTCTCACAAAATTTCGATTTCTACAATAAGATCTAGAACATATTTCATTATGAAAGAAAAATTCCTAGCGATCCATAATGTAAATGAATAATTTCTAGTGGAAATATATATAGAAATAGATTATTATATTAAGAGGAGTTGGGTTAAGAGGGTAAAATAGACATTTAAAAAAGTGGAGAAGTGAAGAGGAGAATGTTCAGGAAAATCATTAATTCTAAAAGAAAAATTTGGAGATGTAAATTATTTTCCCTTACGCCATAGATATATTATATATGTACTACTACTAACATTAGTTAGTTATATATAAACATGGATAATATAAGAATCACCATTGATATTAAACTAGTACTCTTTCAGTCTATTTATTTGATACACTTTCTTTTTTATTGTGTACTTAAAATGATATTTTTTATATATAAAAATAATTTTAAGTTAATTTTTTAATTTTATTCCTAATACGATAATTTATAATTATAAAGTTATTTCTGCAATCAAAAGTTTTTTTTTTACTATACAAATTAGATATCTAGTCAAACTCCGATATATAATTTAAATCGAAAGGGCATTATTTTCATAATATTGATAACAAGACTCTATAATAGTCAAGTAAACCAGAAACAATACTAGAGGCGGAGCTAAAAGATTACAGACTGATTTGGCCAAAACCAATAGCTTTATAGTCTCAATTTTGTATTTTATTAGCTTACTAAGTATGTAGAAGAAACTAAATTCAGAACTCAGTTTCTAATATCGATTATCCTAATATTTAAAACTCATAACATTTGAATCGACACTCGACCCTAAACATGATTAGCAATGTTCTTGCTAATCATATATACAAAGTAAATTATAGAACAAGCAAGATTGAGACTCTTAACTAAATAAATAAGTAATTTGTATGAGGACAATATGTATTCAAATAAGTTACAATTTGTTTTAATTGCACACGAATAATAGAGTTGTGTTTACAAGAAAAACATTTGTTTGAGGTTCCTCTACTTCTTTTCCTTTGAAGAAAGAACAAAATTATTTAACTCTCAATTAGTGCTTTGGATTTGGTTTTGGTTAATCATCAAAAATATATATTTTTGAAAGAGTATTTGGAATGGCAAGTTTTGTGTTCTGAATGGATTATAAAACTATTCCATATATGAAGATAGTCTTTCCTAAAAAGTTACCACTTTTGTCTCACTTTATTTGACACTATTTCATTTTAAATTTGTTAAAAAAATTTATATATATTTAATTAATGAAAAACTTTTATATTCTTATAAATGTTAAACAACGATTTTTCTTGAGCCGAGGGTCAATTGAAAATAGTCTTTCTATCTCTGAGATAGAGATAAGATAAAGTTTATCCTTCTCAAATCCTACTTTGTAAAATTATATATACTTTTATATTGTTGTGTTAAATATTATGACATATGTGAACCGATAAGTTATAAAATATTTATAACCACATATGTAATGACCGGTATAGAATTAAAAATATTTAAAAAAAAATTCTTAAATTTCATCTAGGCCAAATAAATTACTCCCTCCGTTCCGATTTACTTATCAATTCTTTTTAATTTGATTTCTATTTTTACTTGTCATTTTTGACAAATTACGGAAGAACAATTTTTTTTCCTTTTGAAAAGTACAGTGAGTAAATATATTTGAGACCCAATCAATTAATAAGGGTAAAATGATAAATTTGCTACATCAATCATTTTTTTCTTAATAGATGTGTCAAGTTAAAATTTAACAAGTAAAATCGAGACGAAGAGAGTAAAATAGATACTAAAATAAAGGCATATTGCGTGTATATATAACCCTCTAAAATTCCCTCATTTTATCTCATTCCACCAACTTTCCTCTTCACTAATCTGTCTCCAAAACCACAACACTAAAGTGTTGTGTTAATACTAAAAAAATTTAAAAAAAATGGGGTCATTGATAGGTCATGTTATACTAGGGTTTGGTTTTTTTCTTATTGGTATTTGGCATTTGCTCAACCACATAAAATTACTACATGCTTTCTACCCAAAATCCTACACTTACTTACCATGGTTCCCAGCTCCAAAAATCAGGTATTTAAAGCTTTGTTTGATTAATCACAACTTTTTCAAATATTTAAATTTGATGGGTTCACCTTTAAAGATTTTTAGCACTTGTATATTATACTTTTGATTAGAGTTTTTCTTGATTATTTATAGCAGTTTCAAGATTTAAATTTAACAAGTTCAGCCTTTAAAATTCTTAGGTTTTAATTCATTGTACTTTCGATATATTAAAGATTTTCTTGATTATTCAGAGCAGTTTAAAGATTTAAATTTAATGAGTAAGAGCTTTAAAATTCTTAGGCTTCAAGGTACTTTTGAATAAGAGATTTTCTTGATTATTTAAAGAGGTTTCAAGATTTAAATTTAACAAGTTTGAATTTTAAAATTCTTAGGCTTTAACTCATTATTGCACTTTTGATAAGAGATATTCTTGATTATTTTGAGTAGTTTCAAGAATTAAATTTAACGAGTTTAACCTCTAAAATTCTTAGTCTTTAAATCATTGTACTTTTGATTAGAGATTTTCTTAATTATTCAGAACAATTTCAAGATTTAAATTTAATGAGTTGGATCTTTAAAATTCCTAGGCTTTAACTCATTGTACTTTTGATAAGAGGTTTTCTTGATTATTCAAAACAGTTTCAAGATTTAAATTTCACGAGTTCAAGTTTTAAATTTCTTAGTCTTTAACTCATTATACTTTTGAAATAAGGTACGCGGAGCTTTTTGTGATTATGTTTGGCACCTTAGTCTCCATATCAATGGAACTCTTCATTGGTCCATCAAAACACCAACATTTTGACTCTGATGGAACCATACCTTCATATCATCTCCATAACTTTGAACATGCAAATATCTCCCTTACTTTCTTTGTCTATGCATCCTTTTCGATATTATTCGACAAAATCATCCCTTCAACCTCAGCTCAAAATGGACTTACATTATTTCTTGGAGCTGTTGCTTTTGGTCAAGAATTCCTTCTTTTCCTTCTTCATTCTACTGACCATATGGGTGTTGAAGGACAATACCATTGGCTTCTCCAAGTTGTCATCTTTTTGTCTTTCGTCACTACTCTTTTGGGAATTCCTTTCCCTAAAAGTTTCTTGAATAGTTTTGTGAGATCTTATAGCATTATGTTTCAAAGAATTTGGATGATGGTCATAGGTATCATGCTTTGGACTCCAGAATTCATCTCAAAAGGTTGCTTTATCAACTTTGAAGAAGGGCATAAAGTGGTTAGATGTCATAACAAGGAAGCACTTGAAAGAGCAAAGTCATTATTAAATATCCAATTTAGTTGGTATTTGGTTGGAATTACTGCTTTTACACTCTCAGTTTATTTGATTCTTGTCAAGTTTTTTAGAGAAAATATTGAGTACTTGTCTTTAATAAGCAAATTTGAGAAGGAAGATTTATTTGAGGATGTTGAAGCTCAGAAGAAAAGCCTTGTCAACCATATTGGTGAGCAAAAGAGGTTTGTTGAAAAGGGAAAAAAGAGAATAATTAGAAATGGAATGTCTGTCTTATTTTGTGTGGTGTGTGTGGGAGGGGGGGGGGGGGGGGGGTAGAAGAAAAATAAATATATTTGGCATGTTGTATTTACTCATTTGATAAAAACCTAGTAAAAATAAAACAACTAAAAGGGTGTGTAGAGGATTGAGATCAGTTCAATATTTATGTGGTTAATTTGTTTATATGTTTTGGGGAGGGTAGCATGTGGTGGGAGAAAAGTTGATTGTTGGAAGGATTTTTTTAATTAATAAATGTGTTCAATATTGTAACTCTATATAATTTAAAAGCCTTTTTTTTGGGGACTTATCTCGGAGAGGGTACTTCTAAAACGTTCTAAGACTCACATGTGCAGTTTATTAATTTTGTGAGGCTTAAGCTTTAATTTAAGTGTCCGATTGTGCGTCCTAAACACATCTAAAGTTCACTACCCGACACTTGCTCAACAGTTCCTACCTCAGAATCCGTTAATGTATAAATGAATAATAGAAGTTCAATTCATTCATAAAATTGTGAAGATTAAGAATAATTCAAACAACGAGTTGTAATATTACATAATTATTACTATGAACATAGTGAGGATAATAATTCAAATAATGAGTCATATTATTGAGAACATTGTGAGGATGAATATCATGTTCAATATTATATTATAATGTAGTTCTATATACTTTAGAAGGCTTTTATTTGGGACTCGCCCCTGAGAGGGGCATTTATAAAACGTTTTAAGACTCGCATATGAGGCTTAGTTCTGTGAAGCTTACACTTTAATTTATGTGTCCGACTGTGTACCTTAAACACACATAAACTTTAATGCCCGGGACTTGCTCAATAGTTCCTAACTCAAAATTTGTTAATAAATGAATATTCATCCATTAAATGTGAAGATTGAGGAAAATTCAAATAACGAGCCACAATATTACATAATTATTATTATTATGAATGAGGGTAATAATTCAAATAACGAGTCATGTTATTGTATATTGAGAGCATTGTGACGATGTATAGCATTTAACATCCTTCTGAAAATAGGTAGACAACCAAAATTTGTATCGTCACTTTCTATTGGTCTTATCACGACCCAAAATTCACATTAGCCGTAATGACACTTACTCCTAACCCTATAAGCGAAACAGAAGCTGATTTTAAATCCATTAACCATTTATTGCAGAAAGGTAAAGTGAGAACAATATCAAAGTTATTAATGGAGTCTCATAACCAAAATCATGCGGAACAAGAAAATACACCTCCAAAATCTGATGTCGTAAGTACAAGAGTTTCTAAACTATAAACATTAAAGTATAATAAGTCTCAATAAAATTTTCTTGAAATAAAAAGACAAAATGTGATAGCAGTGTATAATAAGTCCAAATGCAATAAGTGATTGAACAAATGAATGTGAGATAGCAAATAGCAAAGGAGAAAAATAATAAAAGGAAGAATTTATGGTTTCTCCAAATGATTTTTCAAACTGTGTGAATGTATTTCTTTCCCCATAAATAGCTTGAAAGATCATTGCACACACAGTTATCGTGTGACCTAATTTAATAAGTTTTATAATTTTTATCAAAATATAAAGTGGGAGAAAATAAATTTCAAGGCATGGCAATGAATTACTTATAATGAAATATGAAGCATGTAAAATAATTATAGTCCATTTTTTTTTAAGAGAATGCAATTTGTGATAATCATCGTGAATGCTCACTCATTCCTAAAAATGAAAGTGTCAAGATGTGATAAACATATATAAGGATTTATTATATATGATTGGATAAATATCACAACTCACATCTACAAGAGATTTGAGAGAAATAAAACAAAAATCAGCATAACAGTCATTTGATTATGTACTAATTTAGGTATGTTACAACTATTACAAGTCTTATCATGAACTATTTGTCATGACCCAAAAATTGGGCGTGAGGGAACCTCTTATCCCACCAAGACAAATCACCCTAATGAACTCTCAACAAGGGTAAATGTGGAAGAAAGAACGAGATTAAGAACTAAGCATAACATAAGCACGCGGAACTCATAATATAACACAACATTTCCTAAAGCCTGGTGTCACGTGTACAAGCCACTAAGTATTACAACATATTCAAAAGAAATACAAGTTTGAATGTCTTCACATCTAGAATAGATCAAGGACATAATAAGAGAGTAAGTGATGTTAGCCGAGAATACAAGTAGCTACCTCACGAACTCCAAAAGCAAGCCTCGAATGAAGATGTGAGAGGATGATCAAGACGATCCAGGCTCGTAACCTATACAAGTGTAGAAAGAAAGGGAATAAGTAAAAAAACAACAACAATTCTCACCAAGCTTCCCAAGCTGACCCTAAGTAAAGCAATACCGAACACTAGTATCCTGACATATCATCTGAACCTCCACAAACTACAACCTGCACAGAAATAAGAACCTGTCGATCCTAATGGTTTCACAAATACGAGAATAGTATAATATAAATAATCCATCATAATTCACATACCAGAATCTCATAACATCAGTATGACACTCCATATTCAATTAACCATGAATAAAGTAACCCACTCATAAATGGAAAAAATGCTAATGAGCTGTAAATACAATGTCATATAGAATGATGCATGCCGGCCCAATACAAGCATCACGAGACACATGGAGGGCATATCTACCCATGCCTCAAAACACACACCATTGAATATTAGACCGGGATCCATGAGGGACATATCAGCCTATGCATCTGCCAAAATCAATTTTCATTGGCATAATGTCACGATCCAAAATTTCAGGTTGCGATGGCACCTATTACGTCCCACCAGTAGGTAAGCCTAACCCAAAGCCCAGAACTAGAAGTAGTGGGATATTGCACATAAGAAAATAATTGCAGAAGAAAAAAATAAGAAGAAGAAGAAGAAGAAGGAAAAGGAAACGAGAGAATCAAATCAATACAAAAACTAACCCAAGACCTAGTATCAGCCGGTATTTGAGAAATAATTAAAAACATGAGTACAATAACAATAGAATAATGCAAAACTATATGTGGAATCAAAATAAAGACTAGTCCTAGTCCAAAGCAAAGGGAGAGTAAGGCAACTCCGAACGCTAGGATGTAACGACCTGAATCGTCATTATTTAGGAAAGGCAAAACATCGGAGAAAAATTGGACCTATCATCCCGCCAGAGCGAGCTAGATGTTGCTAGGGCGGCGGCGCTCCAGCGGGATAGTTCGCTCCAGAGCGAGATGGACGAGACAAAACTTAAACAACGCGAAGTCTTATTTTTTCCTTTTTCCAAAACACAAAAAGAGGCGAGAATCACCCAGAAAACCCTCAAAAGGCTGCTCTAGGCTTGGGAAAGAAGAAGGAAGAGATGTTTAGCGCAAAAAGGATGATAGCTTGTAGATTCTTGTCCAAATCCATCGCCTTGATGTTCGGAAAACCAGGATTGGAGCTATAATTCCATGCAGCTGCTTGACACCAGGTAGGCTGAGTTTTATTTAATTGAGTAGTCCTAAATATGTTCTCACTGCATAGTATGTTGATAATTGACGTAGAATCCATGTGTAGGTCTTTGTGCACCAAAAAAGGGATGGTTGTACATGTATTTCTAGTTGTTACATCAGATGTATAACGTAGGAGGAAGCCTCATCCTGTGAACTAGGGATAGGTTGCTTGATTTCCTGTTTGTGTGACATATGCCGAATAATGGCTTCATTTTATGCATGCATGTATGTGCATAAAGGTTTATGAATCGAACTCGGTGAAACGACTAAGTATGTATAGTTACATGTCACGAACCTGTTGTGAACTTAATCTAAAGAATGATTATGAATGAACAACTGCAGGTTATGAACCCAATACTTGATTGTATGACTATGAGTAATGTTATTATGGGTGTGATTGTGATTGTGGTTGTGCTGACTTGATCAGGTGTCATGTTCCGACACATAAATTGGATCAAATGTCACGTTTCGACAAATACAATGGATTGAGTGTCACGTTTCGACAGATATATTAGAAAGGGTGTCATGTTCCAACACGTGTATATTGGATCGGGTGTCACGTTCAGACACACTAACAGATTGGGTGTGGGTTCCATGAGAAAACCATTGGTGAATACTGTGATCATATTTGTTTGACATTGATATTGGGAACTGTATGTTGCTCTTGAGTTGATAATTGATTTATACATTATGTATATATGTGTGTACTATGTTATGGTTACTCATTATATATCTCGTTAGTAAATAAACGGTGAATGGTCAGGCCCAAATCGGGGTGTGGTATGGTAAGTGTAGACCGAGGGTCCAAGTGTTACTATGTGTTACCATAGAAAGACGTTTGGTATTCCTAAAGTGGAGAATTGGGGTGGTGTGATGTAGAAATGTTAAACAGTTAGGTATTACCCTGGAAGGTGATTAGTATTGAAATGGTTAACGAGCCTTGGTGGAACGTCCTATGGAGTCAAGGGTTGAGTGGTGAGTGGAAGAAGTAAGGGTATGTCGTGAGTAGTTGGTTGGGTTGGTAGTGGTTACATCCGAAACCTCATCTAAGAGACAGAATGGTTGAGCTATGATCAAGGATGAAGCGAGTAAGGGGTTAGAGTCAAGTGTACTTAGTATATGTTAAAGTATCCGGGAATGGTAAGGGCAATAAGATATAGAGGTGGAAGAATGAATAGTCTTATTGCATGTTTCCTGCTAGTCGGTTTATTGTATTATCCGGTGGGTATCGGGTTGACCAATGATGCCTACCAGTACATGTGGTTTGTACTGATACTACTCTTGCTATGCCTTTTTGGCATAGTCTGGTTGCAGGGTCTGACGTTTCATAGGTGAAGACGAACACAATCTCCAACAACTTCTATCTTCCTTCCATGTGGTGGGAGTTGTGTCATCTGCTATTATATTGTACCTTGTAATCTTTAGAAGCTCTTGTACCTGTTTATACTAAATCCTTGGGGAAGTTAATTACTTTACAAGTTAACTTTTAGTCATTTAAAACCTTTATTTTGTAAAATGTACATGAATTTCTTTTATTTGTCAGTTTTCTTAATTTTTCGCATTTTTAAAATGCTTGGGAATCGAGGGTTCTCCTACTTAGGTGTTAGGTTAGGTGCTCGTACGGCCTGGTGGGTTGGGTCGTGACAAATTGGTATTAGAGCCTAGGTTATCGGTATCCCAGTACAAGAGAAAATGTGGAATAGACTCATACGGATTGGTGTGTTGACGTCCACATCTAATCTTTAGGAAGCTATGAAGCATTCTAGAAAGTCGTTATATTTCTTCTCTCCTTTCGTGTGAGTTGTCGCTTGTGGTATGGGTTGAGTCCAATTGGTATCTCCCCATTCCAATTGGTATCTCAACAAAGTGAACCGGACACCGTAGTCACGGCTGAAGGGATACAAGCAAGGTAAATTGGAACTGAAAAGGTTCCAATTGGTATCTGGCCTTAGAGATTGTATAAATGCATGGATGATCAGTAATGGTCATCAATGGAGCGAATTAATTAATAATTTTGACTTATCTGTGAGTTGTAGCTTGAAAACTGTGAATGTGTGCATATTGTTGTCTGAAATAACTGTTGGTATGGAAGGTACATTTACTTGGATGTTATGATATGAGTATGTGCACATTAGTGTTTGTCTGGATTTTGATGTGTGCAATATGTTAGTCTAAATTCTCGAAATTGTGCGAGTCGCAATTGCCTAAGTTTCGTGAACTTGTTGTTGGAAAGAGAGTCATCACCGGGTTAGGTGCAAGGGTCTAGATAAACTACGATGTGATTCGTAAGCAAAATATGGACATGTGTTGCGACTACTATAACTATGTGAGTGTATGGGTATATTCTGGAGTATGTTCCATTGGGTTGACTCGGGGTAGGCAATGACTATCCTAGCTAAGAAGATTGTCGTAAATGCTTAGTTATAGCCTGGGAATCAATGAAAAACTTTAGAAACAGGAAGAACCCCAAGAAATTGTTGACCTGGGGTACTGTCTCCGTCTGAGCCGCTGGGGCAAGATTATTCCCGCCAGGACGAGACCGCCAGAGCGAGATTTCTCCCGCTAGAGTGGGACAGGGCGAGACAAAATCTCAGCCCTGTCGCCCTTTTTTTTCCCTAGTCACACATATGGACCTCAATTCGTACATAGGTTAATTGTTGTGATTCAATCAGTACTCAACAATAGAACAGGAAGTTATAATCACCTAGCCTTAATTATTAGCTGTGAAAAACAGCAAAAACCAGCATCCATGTGCTTACAGAAATGTAAGGAAAAGCAAAAGAGAAATAAAGTATTGTTCATTACATGCCCTAAAGGGGCGAAAAACCAAATCAGGAACACTGGGAATGGGAAGTGTCGCTACATGACTCTAGGTCCTCTTAGGCCGTCTCGCCAGTCCACGCCTCGCTCAACCAGGGGAACTCCCGAAAGTTCTCTGGCTCAAGCCTGGGAAACTCCCTTTGGGGGACGATGCAAGATGAAATGACCTTAATGTCCTTCCACATCTGGCCCATCATACAATACCTCTCTAGTCTCTTGTTCCTCTTAAAGCTTAGCTGGCAGCGGATCATCTCAGCCTCGAGGGTAGTGGAGGGAGGAACTGGAGTAGATGTGCTAGCATAGAAGCGTCCCAATCTCTTCCAGATGGCCGCCAGGTCCTCCTCCACCTCTGCACCTGATAGTGGTGGCTGGGACTAGGTGGGGAGAGTACCGTCGGCCTCGTCATCTTCCCCTCCTTCGTCATCTGCCTCAGCAGCTTCTTGACTGTTACTAGCCCTGTTCGTCTTCTTCCTCTTACTTCCGAAGGTTGAAGCCTACCTAATCAAAAGAGGGTGAAAAAGGGGATCCAAGGAAAGTACCTCATCGGTGTTCAAGAGTGACACTCCCGCTCGCTTGCACAGCGCAGTCACTAGTCTTGGCAGGAAGAATGCCTTCTTGTTGCCCCGGTAGAACACCTTCCATTCTAAAATGATCTGCGTGCCCACGTTTAGTATGATTCCTATATAGTACACGCCACCACTAGAGCCCGTGGAAAAGTCACGTCGGTGTGATTGTCCAACGGGCGGATCCTCCTAGTAACCAAGTGTAGCCACCTATTAGCATTCGGGGACCAGTGAGTGTTGGTGATGTCCTCTGTAGTAGCCTAGTAGACCCGGTCCCGACGCGCAGGTTCAACCACTATATCATTCAACCAGCCCAAATCCATATCCCTTAGGTTGGGAACCTCTGGCACCTCGAGCACATCATTAATAAATGGAGTGTTTAGGTGGATGTCAACTCTTCGGATACAAATAGTAGTGTGAGGGTTGTCCCAGCAAACGGTAGGTAGGATGGAATAGAACTCCCTCACCCATGTGGAGCGCGTAGCAGGGGGAGCCTATGTTAGTGGTGTAACACCCCGTATCCGAAAACGGACCTCAAAACAGATTTCCAAAAGTTGCAGGTGCGACTCACGGTCACCACCCACGGACCGTAGGGTGACCCACAACCTGTGCTGGTGGTCCTTGGTTCACACCTTAAACCTCCCCTAGAACTCAGCCCAAAAAATTGGCTAAGGGTAGACCCACGCCAGGACCTACGGACCGTAGGTCAAACCACGGTCCGTGGTCCAGGGTCGTAGGTCAGACCCCTAAATTTCAGCCTCCAGTACTGATCAACGGATGACCAGCACGGATCGTCAGTCGATCGATGGTCTGCCAGTCACTCCGACAGCAGTTAAGTCGGGGGTCTTTTGGTCTTTTTCTATTTTGTTGGACCCCTAAACTACGTTGTATAGACCCTAAATTATGAGGTTTTAGTCAGTTTAAGCCTAGAAACATAACTATAACTTACCTAAGTCAAATCTTTAATCAAAACTCAGAAAAATTAGAGCTTGAGAAGAGAAAAGAGGTCAAGAACCCTAGTTCAAGAACACAACAAGATTTCATCAGTTCTAGTCACGAAATCGATAGATTTCTCCGTGGAATTCGTCACCAGGTAAGTGGGATTTAACTTATGGGTTCCTTTCTCCCATTAGGTCCCTATATTTCAGTTAGATTCTTGATTCCTTATTATCAACTAGACCTAGGGTTTCTAGAACTTCAGCAGATTATCATGAATTAGTTATTTAAATATTCCAAATCAGGTTATCATGTTATTACTTGGTTTCTTGCATGAATTTCATATCCTTATCTATGTAGTTCTTTAGTTCTTGAATTACACATCCTAGGCCAGATATTTTAGTTATTTCAGATATACATGCCTCAGTTTTTGAATGTGTCATTATCAGTTTATTAATGTTGCATTTTCAATTTGCATGTCAGTTTTGAGCTATCCGGTATATTACAGTAAGTCATAATGTGTTAATCACTTAATCTATTGGGAGTAGAAAAATACCGAGTTGGACTAGGGTCAGTCATCCGTATAGTCCTAGAACTACGAGCCACGTAGGTTGTAAGCTCCCTCTGTGGGCATCATTTTAGTGATCACGCTAGCATGCCTCTATACCTCTAGCAGGGTATATTGGGTCCTTTTGATGGGGTGTATTCATCGGACTCCACATTTAGCTCATATGGTTTTATTATCGATTATTAGTAGCTCAGTGTTAGCATGTTATAAATTGGCCATTGCATCCAGTTAGTTCAATATTCAGTATATAGATCATATTCAGATTATACTCTTACTTTTTTGCGTATTCAGTTATATGCTTGTTTCAGCATTACTCTATCATGCATGTTCAATACCTTTCAAGTATTGACGCATACTCTGCGCTACATCTTCTCGTGATGTAGGTTCAGGTCCTCAGCAATCAGATCACGCATAGATCGGTTCCCAATCTTCAGTTCAGCAGCTATAGTGGTGAGTCCTCATTCTTCGAGGACAAGAGTCATTTTATCTTTCATTTTTTAGTCTTGTAGTTTCAGTTTTTGCTAGACTTAGCTGGGGACAGTCTTAGCAGTTCTAGTCAGTTAGAGGCTATATTCAGACATAGTTAGATTCAATTTAGTATTTGAGTTTGGTATTTCTTTTGTATTAAACTCTCACATTTGATATATTCAGTTTTAGTATATGGGTATTCCCCATCATTTTAGACTTTCATTATTATTTAGCTTCCGCATCAATTTTATTATTCTTAGTATGCTCATGTCATGCCAGCAGGGTTAGCTTGGGGTCGCTTGTGATCCTAGGTCCCGTGTCCGCGTCTCAGGGGTAGCTCGGGGCGTGACAAACTTGGTATCAGATCACTAGGTTTAAGAGTCCTAGGATGCCTGAAAAGCCGCACTAGGTAGAGTCATTTTCATGGGTGTGTAGTGCGCACCACATCTAATGAAAGGGAGGCTACAAAGTGTATTAGAAAAATCTTCATTTTCTTGTTACTTTAATCCTCAAACTTCATTGATGAGGTCAAGAAGATCTTTGAAGTGATGCAGGTAACTGGGAATGATCAGGTTGAGTTAGCTTCTTACCAACTTAAGGATGTAATTCATATCTGGTATACTCAGTGGAAAGAGAACATGGGTACATATGCAGCTTCTATCACTTGGGATTGCTTTAGTGAAACCTTTCTGGACAGATTTTTCCTAAGAGAGCTAAGGGAGGCAAAAGCTCAGGATTTTATGAATTTAAGACAAGGTAGCATGACAGTCCAATAGTATGGGCTCAAGTTTACCCAACTCTCTAGGTATGCTCCTCACATGGTTGCTGATTCCAAGGCTCAGATGAATAAGTTTATATATGGAGTGTCAGACTTGGTAAAGACAGTGTAGAAATGCTATGTTGCTGGAAAATATGAGCATCTCTAGGCTCATGACTCATGCTCAGCAAGTTGAGGGTGATAAGCTTAGGGAACAAGCTAAGTAGAACAAGAAGGCTAGGATTGGAAACTCTGAGTATTCTCAACAGAAGTCAGGTGGTGGAAATCGCTTGCATGGTCAGTAGAAATTTTCAGCTCCATCACCTTCATCAGCTAGTGTTCCATCCTCCAAGTTCAGACAAGATCAGAAAGGTAGGGCATCAGGCTCTAAGTCTCAGGGGAGTATTTCAGGTACTAAAACCCACCCAACTTACCCTAAATGTGGTAAGAACCATCTGGGCGAGTGCCTTGTAGGGAAGGAAAAATGCTTTGGGTGTGGTCAGTCTGGTCACAAGTTGAGAGATTGTCCTTCTAGACAAGGTCAATGAGGTAATAATGGTAGAGCTCAGTCAACAACTTCAGCAACACCAACAAATCTCCCAACTCAGTAGGGTAACTCATCTGGTACAGGTGGCGGACAACGCTAAAACAGGCTTTATGTTCTTCAGGCTCGCTAGGATCAGGAAGATTCTCCTAATGTAGTCACTGGTACATTACGAGTCTTTGATCTCGATGCTTATGCTTTGTTAGATCCAGGGGCTACTCTTTTCTTTGTAACTCCTTATATAGCAGTTAAGTTTGATGTTAGTCTAGAAACTCTCTCAGTCTCTACTCCAGTCTGTGACCCAATTATAGCGAGACGGGTATACAGAGATTTCCCTATCACAGTCTCTCAGAAAGTCACCTCAACAGATCTTGTAGAGTTAGAAATGGTAGACTTCGATATCATTCTAGGCATAGATTGGTTACATTCTTGTTATGCCTCAGTCGATTGTAGAACTAGGATTGTTCGTTTTCAGTTTCTAGACGAACCAATCTTAGAATGGAAGGGTAGTAGCTTAGCGCCTATGGGTCAATTCATGTCTTACCTTAAGGCCAGAAAGATGATCTCTAAGGGTTATCTCTATCATCTAGTTCGGGTTAAGGATTCAAGC